TACAAAACAACAAGTGGTGATTTAATTGAGACTGCGCGACTAGCAGTTACCCTACAGAGGTGATATTTCAAGGAGGAGAATATGAGAAGAAATAGAGAGAAGAAAGCTGTGAATTCATTGGAGGAACCTCTACAGCAAATCGGATGTTTCCATCCCTTATATTATTCGAACTACGCTTAAAAAAGCGATCGATTTTTATCGATAAGAAAATCGACAAAAAAAATGCCAAAAGACGAATATGTATTTTAAGCTTCAGGTCAAAAGACGTACGGAAAGCCAGCCCGATAGACAAACATGGCTAGATCGACTCGGCTCGTTGTCCTCCTGATCAAGAATATATATATACTTGGGATCTGCCATGTCTTCTTTTGCCTCTTCATAGATTTACATTTCAGTATACCCCGCCTGAATGCCCATTTTCAATGGATTCAGGGTATAAAAATTGGGTATCTCTATATGTAAATGGTAGGTCGACCAACAATTGGACAGAGCGAACGGCAGCTAATGATGACTGGGCGCAAATGTACAAATCTTAATTATGCAAATCACGGTCGTGCATAAATTATGTAAATTATAATGAAATTCCTCGTGGCAAGGCACTGCACGCCGCTTTGAGCCCAAAAATTACATTATATATATATATGTATATATGTATAAACCATATACCCGATTTGCATATATATATATATATATATATATATAAATATTTGAATATAAATGCTCCGTATATTGATGAAATGTGAAAATCAAACATTTAATTCGAGGGTGGAAAATAAATTGCAATGTAAATGCAGCATAAAAACTGAATTAGTACGCGAACAATTCCAAATGAGAGGAGACTGAAAGAGTGACAAGCGAAAAGGAGACAGAGAGAGAGACCTCTGCAATTACTCTATATAAAGAGGCCCCGAGCCGATGGCTCGCACAATGCACACACCAATGGAGGGCTGTCCACATTCGCATAGGGTGCAAAAGGTTTTGGGATGTGGCATAGAAATAATGCCATACGGTTGCCTGGCCCATAACATCTGACACAATAACTCACGAAACACAACAGCTTCAGTGTGCCAAGCGGAAATAAATCTTTTCCAAAATTATAAAAATTCATGTTCAGCCTGAGGCCTGCAGCTTCTACTAGTGACACGTCTGTTCCGAAAAATAATATAAAATATGAAAAATACTAAATTAATTTTTACTTCGTGGCATCTGTTTTACGTTAACAAACTGCTCTAAGCTTGCAATAAAAACTTTTTATGAGAATTTATTTTAAATCATTTAAAAGAAATTCTTCAAGCCTGTAAATAATCCTACGAATATCGCCTTCATAAAAAACTGTAACAAAACCTCATTACTTAAATCTCCATCTAAACAGGTTGAGCTCATGTAAACTTTCTTGAAAGAACTCTGAAATAATTGCGGCAAAAAACAAGCCAAATAAGTCTACTCATAACCACAGACGCTATCCCCTGCCTGTCGACTATAAATTCTATTCCCATTTCGTCAGTGACAAAGACAGAATAAAAGCCAATACAGCCAAGTCCCAGATCATACCAAACACCTCATCTAATACTAGCAATCGTTTCCCATCCTGACGAAACCTAGAACACCAAAGATGATGTGCATCAAGTTGCTATTTTCACTTGTAACACTGCTACAATTTTCATTGACAATATTGAACACTTCCCTAAATTAAAAATTGCAATTGAAAATTCTGTTATAAAAATTTAACGTAATGGCGCTATACGTCTAGCACCCTTCAGCTTATCAAATTATTCATAATTGCTTGATGACTTCAACCTACTGCTGCAATGACTGGCAAGTAGAGGAAAATACAGGTTTCCATTACAAAATATGTGGCATCTGCCAAGACACTCCCAGGGACATTTACTATGCCTGCGGCCGTCTCGCGTGCTCTATGAGATCCTCTCCATTTTTTTAACGGTATGAGAAAAGACCATCAGATGGACTGATCAGTAGAACTCGCGCACATTCCGGTTGTTAAGGATGTAACGAGTTAAGGTATACGCATCTCGCTCCATCGGTTAAGAATAACTCCGTCCACAATTCACAGCTCATCTAGCATTACATATAGACAATACAATACATCAGCTATGCTATCAAACTCACTTTCCACAGACAATCGTGACAATTCGCTGATCATCAATAACATTCTAGATCAATTACTATCTAGCTGGAAAGGGTCAACCATCATTACTCTTGCAGACTTACAAAACTGTGAGAACACAATGCTCAGCTGAATAAAAATAATAAATTCCTGATACATTTAAAAAGAGCGACCATACTTAACGTGCGCAGAACATTCGATAAAGTATAGCAATCACAGCTGATACATTTAGCTTAACAACATTTTTTCAACTCCATGGACTCAATCTATATTTAGTCAAAAAGCAGAGCATTTTAAGTTACCTCAGAAGGTAAAGACTCACTTTAAAATAATGAACGCCGAAGGAAGATTATTTAGTAAAACATGTCGTGCTAAATACACAAGAAAAAAGAAATAAAAAAAAAATTTTAAAAATTTATTAAAATTAGAAGTAAAAAACCATATATATTCGTTATTAAAAATAAAAATAAATAAAAAAATAAAAAAAATAAAATATTTCGAGCAAAATACTTGAAAAAGTAGTGCATAAAAAATACACAAGAAAACAGAAAAAAAAGATTTAAAAAAATATTAAAAATAAAAGTAAAAAAGAAGAAATATATATTCATTACTTAAAAAAAAATAAAATGTAAATAGTTCGAGCAAAATACTTGAAAGTAGTGCACAAGCCACGTGCAGTCGCTCGTGCGACAGACTAATGAATGTGCTTTACCAGCAAGCAAAGCAAGTACTTTTCCATAGAAAAAGGTATCGATTACTCGCTAAACGCTGTTCAACACTGGCTATGAAATTAACAGAAAATGTTTGGCATGTGCCAAACGCTGGTTTTGTTTTCACTTTGAACAATGCGATACAATAATTTTCAGCACTACACACACACGCACACACACAGAGACAGGCACACACAAACAAACACTCGGAGCCATCTGTGCACATATATCAGAACTATATGCAGTTGTAGTTGGTTGGCATTCGAGTTCGTATTATGATGCATGAGCCTTCCAACCCCCAGGGAGAGAGAGAGAGAAAGAAGAGCGAATGGCTTTTGTCAACGTTGGCACAGGACGACAAGGAGTTGCCACGGACAAACGGGGGTCGGGGGCAAAAGGATCAGCAGGCGGCGGCGGCGGCGGCAAGCAAGCGATGATTAGATTCAGTTTCAATGGAAATTGAAATCAGAGACAAAAAGCAGCAGGGTTGCAAAAACTGAGCGAGAATGAATGATTTTCAGTTGTTGTTGCTGCTGCTGCTGCTGGATAGTCCTCGTAGTCGTATGCGTAGTACCCGGAGCATTAAAAGTGCTACGGGCAGTGATTCATAGTCCTTGTGCGAGATTCCCATCCAGCTTTCTTTTTTTTTGGTTTTGGTTTTTTTTGTGCTGGTATTGGTTTGAATGCTGCATTAAGGACAACCACTAAACGTCAACCACCAACGTCAACGGCACACATTTGTGAATGTGTGTGAGAGTGTGTGCGTGTGTGTGTGTGTGCTTGTAATATTCTTTCGCTGCCGAGATTAACACCGGGTAGCACAGACGCCGGCGAGGCAAAAATTATAATCGTTTCGCAGCGCTGACGTAGCAGAGCAGCAGCCAACGAATCCAGCAGCAGCAGCAGCGGCAGCAGTGGAAATCGGAAAATCGTTATACGTTGAATATACTACCACAAAATCGCGGTCGGCAACGGCATCTACGCTGCGCTGTTTTGGCCGGCACCCGCAACTCCTGGCGACTCACACTCGCGCAACGAATTCGAAGCCTGCCACAGCAGCAGCAGCATCAGCAGCCGCATTTTAATTTTATGGTGCGTGCGTTTTAATATATATATATATATATACATATACGTATATGTATTTGTATATACATTTCGATTTCTTTTGCTATTCGCGCTCTCACTCTGCCGCTCGCTGCGTTGATTCTGCGGTGTTTTGTGGTTAATTTAAATAAATAATCCTTAAAGTGCGGCGTGTTTTTACGGTCGCGCGTACAAGTAAATAAAAACGTATTATGAAAAATAATTAATAACCGAAAAAAAGTGAAAATATTCAATATCTATTGAATATTTAACAAATTAAATTAAATTTTTAATTGGTACAGCCAACAACTAGTGAAAAATAAGTGAGTTTTTTACTCGTAATTGGCACATAAATAAAGCGCCATCTGTGCAGTGCTTTGTGAACTATTGAATCTGCAATAAATTTTTTTAAATCATCAATATTGATAATCCCTTAAAACTCTGTTCTTAGACTATTGTCAATAAAGTTTACTTTATAAAATATTAAACATTGTGTACAAAATTTTTAGAAAAATTGAAAAATATATATATGTAAATTAATTAATAATATTAATTTATAAAAAATAATTAATTATTTAAGTTGTTACTATTTTTTTAAAGTAAATTTACTAAAAAAAATTTAAGTAAAAAAAAACTGCTTAGAACAGCGTAAGGAAATGAAAAGCATGAAAAGCAAATAACTAAACAAAGTTTTAAATATAAAATAAATTTTTGGCAAATTTTTTTTAATATTATGTTAAATATTTTTTGCATAAATTTTGTTTATTATGCATACATTTTCAGTTACTGTTCTTAATAAATTTTACATATTGAAGTTCAAAGGCCTCAAAAATATTTTATAAAAATGGTTAATTGTTTTCTAACTTTTTCAATTAAATAAAATTTTATTCAAAGTTCAAAACATTTAAAAAAAACTCCACTTTTATCATCCACTCCTGAGTTATTCCCATTTAAGTCTAACGCCCTCTGGGCAAAGCTTGAAACAAGCAGTACTTGGCTCAATTGCCCGCTAGATGGCGCTACACCAGTAGCACTGTCAACCCTGTTCACCTGCTGTATTCACAATATATATAGATATCGAGTCGACTACCCTATTATTACACATCTGCTGCCTGCTCAGCCTTAACGCTGTTTTTCGCATTCCGTGCCATTTACAGGGTATACGCTATAAATGGATCCCTCGAACTTGTCATTCGGCTTTCCGGGTCTGTCTGGTCATGGACATCTGCCCATACCGCCCACCGCCAATATGCTGGGCGCCCATGGACATCCGGCACCAACGGCCAGTCCGCCGCAGAGCGTACCCGGACGTCGCACGCCCCTCGGCTCGGTGGGCCTGGGCGGCTTCTACGCCCAGGGGCTGGGCATGTCGCAGCAGAGCCTAACACCCACCGATGAGAACAAGCCCGGACCGAGTGCGCAAGAGAAACCCTTGAGTCCCACGGCAGCAGCCATCGCGGCGATTAGTGGTGGCACCACGACGGCGGCCATGTCCAGCATTGGGGGCATGGGCGGCGGTCCAAGCGGCAGTGGACCCAACGGAGGCAAGCAAAAGAATCGTCAGGGCAAGACGGTGCGACTGAATATCAATGCAAGGGAACGAAGGCGAATGCACGATTTGAACGATGCGTTAGATGAGCTGCGCAGGTAAAGCATATATAAGAAAACTAATATTAATAAATGAGATTGACAGGTTGACAGGTGCATTGACCTACCATCAATCAAATTGTCGAATGTTTGATTGATGATCAGTTTAATGGGCTGAGCCCAGAGGGGCATTTGCTTTTTGAGTGTAATTTGTTGTGATGCTGAAAGGATAGGATAGTGAATAGATCAATCAATCAATCAGTCAATCAATTGTAAATGCTAGGCGAGCAATACCCAAACAAAAGAACAGCAAGTGAAAAACGAAAGTTCTTGCACTAGTTGCCTTTAGAGTTAAAATTTAACGATATCAGCAATCACTGTCAATCACTGTCAATCACTGTTTGATTGATGAGCAATCCACAAGATGAATTCGAAGAGCTAAAAAGCTAAATTCCTTAAAATAGCTAGTTAGTTCTAGTGTTGAGTGCAAGATGTAGCTGGAGTGTTGATCGTAGTTCGATCAATCGCTGTTTGATTGATGATTTTGATTGATTGATGATCAGCGCACAGCCCTAAGCCGACGAGTTAGGCAGCTCACGTTCGTAGTGCAGCTGTTGTTAGTGCTATATCAATCAATCGAAGACTTAGTCTAATTGAACTTCAATCAAGACTGACAAAGTATCCCAAATGAAAACAAAGCTTATCTTATGTTAACTCTCTCTAGTGTTATACCCTATGCACACTCGCCGTCAGTGCGCAAGCTATCAAAAATTGCGACTTTGCTGCTGGCCAAGAACTATATACTGATGCAGCAGAATGCGCTGGAGGAGCTGCGCAGGTAAGTAACCCCCCTACAGATCAATGAACACATATTTAATCTAACATTCTATCAGGCTGCTGGCGTACATACAGAGCACCACGGGCGCAGCTCCCTTGGACTTGGGCGCCTTTCCGGCAGCGGCCAAATTGCAAGCGCTGCTGCAAGGACCCCACAACGAGCCGCCCACAAGCAGCAGCAGCTAAAGAGCGAAAGAGTAATAGAGTGAGAGATAGAAAGAGAAGCAATACGTCTACGTTTAAGTCAATTGAAAAGCCAAATATTTGTGTACTAGTCAAGCAAGAGGTTGAGCATCTGTTAAGTGATATTTAGTTCTTTTATAAGCATTTCCTTTATGCATTTATATATAATGTCTGTATAGATTGTAAGACGAATATAATCAGTATGAGCAATAAATTACATAATAGAAAAGCAAAAAGCTGATTCAAAGACTATCTAATTATAAACAAATGGCATGATGAAATTGTTGTACATAATTTCAAACTAATTTAATATATTTATACCTGATGATGTCTTCCGTTGATAACGTCTACGATACATCTACGAGTTGATCTAGCTGTGACTGCTAGTTCAACTGTGTGCATAAGTCATCTTTGTATATTATAGAAATTTGATATATGTATATTTGATATTAGTTATAAACAGCTTATCGATAAATATCGATTATCAGATTTGCCTTTATCTGTAAAATCGGATTACAGCTGGTTTTAGGGCAGCTATAGTGCTATTTATTTTTTTATTGGATAGATTTGCTTTCAGTAAATGACTATTAAGTTCTTAGATAAGATCTGAATTGATGTAAAAGCAGCTGGATACTGAAAGAGTTCAGTACTAGGATGTTGCTAATGGAAGAAAAGATATTCATTCTTCTAGAAGTAGAGAAAAGAGAAACTGAACAAGACTTAGAATTCATAATATTTTCTATATATACTTTAAACTGATGTATCTTTTAGCATGCTTCATTAAAAATGATTCTCTTTATATATAGTTATAGTTTCTGATTTCAAAAAATGACTCTAATCTACTACACTATCCAAGTAACTGAAAGCTAACAAAAATCGTTTACTCACTAAAAAAGTCTAAAGAGAAATTAAGCTATTAAAGTTATTTATGTTTCAAAAAAGTTTCTTGTCAAGAGTAAGCTTAGTTATTTGATCAGAAAAGATAAATTTTATTCCATTCTAATCCAAGCAGAAATTCGCAAAACATCCGCTCGGCTGCGCCTTTAGCGAATGACCCCTGTACTTACAAACGCCACATCAAGAATTGCAGCATCATTGAAATTGTTCATTAAAAACAATAATTTAAAATTTAATAACATTTAATAACATGCAATATTTTTATGTAAGACAAACACACTTAAGAACGAAATAGTTCGCATAGCAAGATAATGTGTAAAGCTTGCTATTATCAAGTCTATAAATTGATTAGAAACAATCCGTATAAGCTAATAAGATGAGAATACTCTAAATGCGAAATAAATATATGTAAAACGTCGGACGGGTGCGATCTGTGTCTGTGGGATGTACTTCCGATGCCACTCACTCCGGTATGCCCGAGGACAGCACCTTGTTCTGACCCGTGCGAAAGATGCATTGAGCCGGGGGCAGTTCACCGATCAGGAACTGGCGCATTTGCTCGACAGCATGACGTGAGTGGCCGGTGCCATGGAAAGCAATGGTCGCATCTCTTCCGGCATGATCCATGATCACGTCGTCGCCGCCAGGATGTTCGCGCAGAAAGTGTGTTACGTCATAGACCCGATCGTAGATGACAATCCAGCAATCGTCGAAGCTATCATGATGCGCCACCTCCTCCAGCGTTATCTCCGGCACGGCTAGCTGCAAGTCGATCTTCGCCTTGGCCTTCTCCACAAGAATCGCATCGCTGCCATCCGACTTGCTGATGCCCAGCGAACCAATGCGCAGCGTTTGCAGGAGATTTGTTATAGCGAATGCCATTTGGTTCCGGCACTTGGCTCTTGCGACGCTGTCTTTGCTTTCACTTTTTATAATACTTGTCTTTATATAGTTTTGCTTTTTATTATATTATGCGCTTATCGCAACGGCGTCACCCGCGTGCCAATTGGAGCGTCAACTAGTCTCTCTCTCTCTCTGTCGATTTGTCTGATCTTTGGTTTCTTTTGGGCGCTTGACTGTTGGACTGGTCTCCGGTATTTGGTTGTGCCTCGTGTGACTACTGGCAATCGAGTGTCGATCGCGGCATCAGACGTAATCACTTTATAACGGACAACACGTGAATCTCAATCTGAAGCTCGCACTCGCACCGAGCGCCGATAAGGTTTCCAGCGGCCGACCACAGACGCAGTCACAGCCGCAGCCAACGAACGGGCGCCTAGACAAATTGTTGCGTATTCATAGCTAGAGTAAATATATATATATATATATTTTGACTATCAAATTTAAAAAGCTTGTGCAATTATCAGCTCACGATGCAAAGTGCGTGAAAGTGTTTCTGAGAGAGCTCCACACAAGATTTTATACCCTTCACTGGAAAAGCGAGAGTGAAATCAGAATGAGTAAATGTTTTGAAAAATAATTTTTGAAATTCCAAGAGAATATAAAATCGATTTGATAAGAATATATTTGTTTCATATTTAAGTTCATTTCATCAATTATTAAAGTTAGAATTGCGAAAGGAATCTACATTCGCTAAAGAGTTCAGCTCAGAGAAGAGCTCAGAAGTGAAATTCTTCGGCGAATGTTTGGTTAGCTTTTAGTTAGTTCCAATTGCTGCTTTCAATACAAGTTTTAAGTGAATATATATATATACATTTTATCTTATAAATCAGCCTAAAAGACAATAAATATCTGAGATAACTTCATTCATATATCACAAGAGGCTGTTGTGGTGTCAACAAAACAAAGTAGTTCATTAAAATACATAAATTTATTAATAAATAAATATAAACATTACTTTAATATAGAAAAACTTAAAAGGCGCGCAAAGGTAAAATCAAGAAAATTTGTAGTGGAAAAAATTAAAAATACATAAAAAGAAATTCTTCAACTCACAGAGCTCTAAGTTTCTCTTTAAAAACCTAAAATGACTCAACTCAACTTTCAATTTATTAATAACAAATCAAACACGACTTAATAACAACTGCAGACAGTAAAAACACTTAATTAATTGCAAGCTATTAAAAGTGCATTAAATGCCTTACGCAGCACTTATTGCCTACTTCATTGAGTCGCAATTGTGCATATATAAATAAATATACTTATTATTATATTATATATATATTATATTATATATATATACATATATATATAATTTCATATATTGTTTGTGTTTACAATATTTTTATTCAATTCAATTTGTAATGCATATATAAATCACATTAAACATTTAAATATATTTATATATATAAAGATGTGCATTAACATTATCTATGTATATATATATGAGTATATATATTTAAGTATTTATTTCGATTTACTTTTACTAAAGGTTATGAACTGTTAAATTAATTATAAAATTATGTTTTCTAAAATCCTTTTCTAGCCACTAAATATATTTGTTGACCTAAGTTTCTGATGCTCTTTCACGACGTAAAAAGAGTTTATTCGAAATTTAAATTTCTATTTATTTATTAAAAATAATTTATTATTATTAGATCATGTTTATATAGCTGCCGCTATTGAAGCTAGAGACTTGATATAATATAATATAATACTAATTGAACAGTTGAGAATTTTAAGATACGCCCGTGACAAATGGCTTATATTTCAGCTACTGTTTTCGCATCGTGAACGAGTATTATGTAGTTGGTGGCTGCCGACTGCAATACCCTAATTAGGCTTTCAGTTATGAATCGAACCGCTATCATTCACACACATCTAAATTGTGACGTATATTGCAATCAACAAATTTTTAAGCTCAAGGCTGATGGAATTGGGAATATTTGGAATTTTACGAGTCATGCTTTATATAATTAAAAAAAAAAAAAACAAAAATTAATTAACAAAAAGTCATCACAGTACACAGTACTAGTAACTTAATGACGCTCTAAACTAGTTCGAGTCGCGAACCCGGATTTTATATAAAAATTAAAAGTTTATATTTCACTTACTATCAAATAGTTTAGATGTGCCGATATTTGTATAGCAGTTGCTTAACTTAAGTATCTGTAAGTCAGACTTAGTTTATTATTAAAGAACAACGTAGTTGTACCTAAAGTATTGAATGATTTGTGTAGTTAAGACTTAGTTCTGGTTATGCCAAATATAGCAAAAATTAAGTATTTACAACGTAATTTAGCAGCAAAATAAATAATAACAAATATGTTTTTGTAATAAAAGAAAAACATAAAAATATTATTACAAACAATTTCGCATTAAAAATTACGCACGTAAAACCTTTGCTGATAGTGTGGGAACTTTGCCAAGTTGATAAGTTTTATTTTCTTTCAAAAACTAAGTCAATGTTAAGATCATTTGAACAGTTTGTCTTAGTCATAAAACCACAAAAGTCGATGCGTAACTTTTAGTCAGTGCATTGCGTTTGCCTCTCTTTAAACTGGGTTACGCGGCTTGACTTTGCCTTTGGAGGTCGACACGAGCATGTGTTTGCCTACTGCCAACCGCAATCCATATCATGTTTCGTGGTTGAACTTGAGATAATAAAAAGCCAACTTAGCGCGATTTGACCACTTTTTTGTATCAGTTGCAAACTATTTCAATACATATTCCGAGTAGAATAATGATTGTGCTTAGCACATTTTTTTACGCTATGGGAACACACGAGCCATAAAATTGCTGCAGCCTCAGAGTAATTGACTGTGAAATGCTTTTAAAAGAAATAATTTGTTAGCAATCACAAATTATTTCATTTATAAGTAATACCTATTTTTCTCTACTCTACAGGGTATGCTTGGTTGTATCATAGCTTGACCACGTTCTTATCAATTCTCCCTATAATCGAATTAAAATCTAATTGAACGTCGAATATTATGATTAACTAATGCAGCTTATTCATGTTAAGTTCAATGTCAGCAATATCATGTTTACAAAATAAACAAAAGAACACAAAAAATATATAAATTTGCGGTCAGTCACTTTAAAAAATTTTCAAAATTATTAATCTCCTGTAAATTGGACTTGAGCTGTCAACTTTTCGTTTTATTTTTAAATATTTATGTTTTCAGTTGTTTACAAGAAAACACAAAAAACGTTAAACTTTTTATTTCCTTATCATTTATTTAATTTAAATGATTCATTTATATTTAAATGAATATTTTTTTAATTTCTATTGAATATTTTTTTGTTTTTATCTTAATTTGATCGATTTAATTTAACCTAAAATGCGTTTATTTTCAATTTTCATTTTGTGAACAGGTGGCAACGCCAAAACTAACTGTACTTGACTAAGCTTTAGCTGTGCTTTTGATAGCCAGCCGCTGACATTGAGCAACAATTGGCTTGACCATGAGGGAGCTTTTGCCTGCCAGCTGTTGCTTATATGGAAAGCTTTGCGTTTGGAGAGCTTTTCTGCTGCGCGCAACAAACATTGCATATTTATTTGTTCGAATAAAAAAGCCGGCTAAAGGCGACCGAATAACAGATTTATAGAATAAATAATTAAGAAAATATAAAAAAAAATAAAAATAAAAATTTTACTTGTCTATAATTAGCTTATTTTATCTATAACCAAAAGTAAAGCATGTTAAAAGATAGCGCGCATTTAACGAAGCACAACTTTCTGCTTGACTGGATGTGTGTGTGAGTGAGTGTATGTGTGTGTGTAAGGGAATACGGCAATGGCATCTGTGTGTACATTTTTGGTGAACAACAACACAGTCGAGTTTCAGCGACGCGTTGGCCAAGTTGTTTTGCTGCTCTGAAGTCGCAGCAGCCAAAGCAGATACATCTAAATATATATATCTAAAAAAATATATATATATATATTAATTTACTTGTATTTATTTATATGTACGCTGTTAAATTGTCGAAACCGTTTATCAAAGTGCGCTGGACTAATAGAATTAATTATTAACGAACACACACAAATAAGGAAATTGCTTTTTGAACTCAACGCAAACGTTTCAAACGGAATGCCGCGTTACAGCGAGCGCCGCTAGAGCATATTGCGCATACGACACGTCGAGCGCAGGGATAAGCAAACATATTGTTGCGAAAAAAATTTGCAAAGGCCATAAATTATTTTGTACACATTGCTTAGCTTTGTATCCGACTGTCTGTCTGCCTGCCTGTGTGTACAAGTCTGTGTGTTTGACACATTGTAAATAAACGCAAATAACGGGTAAGTGCTAAACAAACTTTCGACAGGTTCTGTGCCAGTATTTGCAGACGCAAATTGAATTTTCAATTTAATGGAGCTCGCGCACCAAGCTAAAAGTTTTTAAAGTTTAAAATGCGTTTTTTATAAGCTCATAACTTTGTTTGGGAGATCTGTTTTTGATGAAGTTTTTTGAAGATAATGAAGTTCCTTTTTTATTGAAATATTTTGAGAGAATATATTTTAAAAATATATTTTAAAAGTAGCAGATATAAATTAATATACTATCATTTATACTATTTATTGTAATATGCTTTTTGAATTCTTCTGAAAACTGAAAATTAATTTATGAATTGAATATAAATGGATTTAAATTTTAGAGAAACGAATTCAAAAATAGATATAAAAGATGAATTCAGCAAAAAAATTTAGCTGTTTTTGAGACTGTGAACGAGCATAGTCATTAGTTTAAAGCTGATTAACATAATATGAAAATCTTAGACAGTTTTAACTAACTTTTTAAAGTTTGATGTAAGCTTAGTCTATTCAAGATATGTATTCCTGTTTACGAAGTGGAAGAGTTTATTTGGATCTGTGCATTTCCCATTTTAATTTCCTTTAATTATGAATTGCTATACTTCAAATGGGAATTACGTGGATACAAAAATCTTGCAAAAAGAGCATTTTTATAGAATTTAGATTTTTTAGTTGCAAGACTCTTACTAAATTTATAAAAATATGGCTTATAATAGTTAAATTTATTTAAATAAAATTCTCAGTTTAACTTTCTTTAATTGTGAATTATTATACCTCAAAAGAGGATAAAATGAAACACATATATTTTAAAAATTCGTTATTTATAGAAAAAAATATCTGATTAAGACTTTCTATGGGTAAATACTTAATGATTAGAGTTAACATTGTTAACATTTTATGTACTCTGTATGTTCAGTAGATGAGAATTTTAGACATTTTATTTCTAATTTTTTAAAAATATTTTTTTGTTCAAATTGTTAATGTTCTTAAAAGAATTTGCTGTGCAAAAATAGAGATATAAATTAATTAATCCTGAAACAAATATTAAAAAAAGTATGTTCTTATATTTATATTTTTATATTTATATCATTATATTTACCTAAAAAATGTTGCCAATTTGTCATGACATATCAAAGGCGCATTAAAAGCTCTAAAACGCAATTTGCCTTTTTATTTTGTTTTCATTTGACATGGAAAAAATAAACATGAAAAATAAATTACCAAGAATTTCCACACACATACAAAACGAATATGCATTCATATATATAGACTGTATACATGTAAAATAAATGTAATTAAAAACATGTTTTACCCAGGAAAAACAAAATTCGAACCACAAAATCAATTAATCTGCCAGAATTGTTCAACTTTCGTAATAGATTTTGAACTTTGTGCATGAAAATTTAATTCCAATTACTTGAAATGGCTTTTGTTGCGCTCTAATCAATATAAGTTGCACCTTTGGCAGAAAAAAAAGCAAAACAAAACAAAAATTAATTGAATATTTATCAGTTGATTACAGATTCCAAAGTTCATGTAACACGCATACGCAGCGTGGGCGACAAATCCCACGGCAAACAAAATGGGCGAACATGAACATTTTAAACATTTACATTTAATTTGATCATGTGGGCGGAGCAGAGGGTGTGGGTGGGCGTGACAACTTGAGCTTATGCTCATATTGTTTTATAATTCCACGGAACATTGAGACTTCAGACATATTGAAGCGGAAATACGCTTTCAATCAAAATTTAAGCCCTCTGACATGTGTGTGTGTGTGAGCTTGCCTCTGTGTGTGTGTATGTGTGTTTGTGCTTGTGCTGACTGAGATTTCTGTATAAAATGTAACCTGGCCTTAGGTTGTTTAACCCAGCCGAGTGCTCAGTGGGCCAACTCTATTTACCTTGGCCGAGCCACTCAAACACGGCTGCGATGCCCTTGAAACACTCGACCCCGACCTTCCCGTCAGCTGCAAACGGAAACAAACGGAAACTGAATGGGCCAGTACTCCTAGTTGGCCAGCATATTGCGTTGCACAGGCTGAACTTAAATAGAAAATAAGCGCCAGAAGAAGAAGAGCGAAAGAAACTTGCATGCATAATAATCAAGTCTACGGCGAGACCATGAATATTTATCACTTGTCCGGGATTAATGCATTTTTAATGCATAAGCCGCATGCCACAAGCCGCATTATCCACCAGAGGACATTCACGGCCTGAGGCGTGGCGCCAATAAACAAGCCGCAGCCGTTGGCTGCGGGGGCTGGGTGACTGAGCGCCAAAGGCAAAGGCAAAAGCAAACCCAAAGACAGCTTTTCAATATTTGTGAACATGCTGAGTTATTGGCAGGGCGGGTCACAAAATGCTGCTGCTGCAGCTTTGTCCTTTACACACACACACACACGCGAACGTCTCTCTGTGTTTGTATGGGTATTAATAGCCCACTTATTATTTGCCTTGTTGCTTCATGCACGGCGAGTGCCGCGTGTGCAAACAACAAGTGTCCTGAGCATATTGCGCTTTAATGATCATATTTCGTATACCCTACTTGGGGGTATATAAATATAGTCGTGCGTTATGTTAGGCATTCAATATTAGGGGCATACGGCATAAAGATCTAAACTAGTTTATCTGACACACATTGTAGAAGTTGCTCGTTTAAATTTTTGAAAATTCTAACATTACAAACAGCTGCTCAAGTTTTGTAAGCGTATTCAATCCTCGTTGTATCATTTTGCTTTGACTGTCAATATATATATTGCATAATTTGGTCGAGCAAAATTTAGCTGTGTAACTCTAAAGCTGTCATCGAATAGCTTAGTCACTCTTCAACTTTATCTAGAAAAAATATGTATTGAAATTTGATAACTAAACGAATCCAAGTATGAGTCACAAATGAGTTTTTTGTGAAAATCCATTTTTCTATCCGCTCTTATTTCCTATTCTTTTGTTAAATATTATATTCTCATATTATTTCTTGCCTTTTGAATATTCTTTTTAATTCGCTTTTTGCCTTAACAATACTTTTGTATTTCCAACTTTTCTCAGTTCTCCTTATCCTGCTTAATTTGGGCATTTTATTCTCTTCTCTTCTTTTAAGCGCATCAAATCTTCTCATCCAATTTCTGATCTCTCCTTTTTATCTTGGCTTCTACTCATTTGTTAGCTTATCTAATAGCTACATTCTTATATTACATATCCAGTATCTGCATTATATATGTAAGAGTATCCAAACTTTGCTAAGCCTCTAGTCTCACTCTCTCTCGCTTTTCCCCTCTCTGTTTATTTGCCTTGCTACGCATATAACTTTGTCGGCCTTATTAATAAACTGCTGTTTATCTTGCTTTTGACAAGTTTTTGTGCTGTTGTTGTTGTTGTTGTTGATTTATTTTCGTTTTGCCTGTTTCTGCATTGGGTTTCATTGTTTAATGCCCTGTGGCAGATTGGCATATGGTAGTGGGCTCTTAATAGGCACTCATATTTCCACTGCGGTTTTATTCTTGGAATCACTTTTGTTTAGCCTTTTAGCCTTTGAGTCTTTTTGACCAAAGTCCAAAGTTGTTTGTGACAGCAGGAAATCAATATGTAAAAAAGAAAAAAACTTTTATTTTTTATAAATTTTCTCGGAAATAAAATGAGCTGAACAACTGCAGAGGAAGCAAAAAGTTTACAGCTTAAGAAGAACTTTGAGCAAAACTTTTTTTGTGGCTCAGTCTCTCCGTGTGTGTGTGTGTGTATGTGTATGAGTATGATGAGCGAATCTACTTTGATTATTTGTGAAACTAATTTAGATTATGCTCGTGCTTCAACACATCATGAATACCAATAAAACCATGGAGAGAGAAACTTCATTAATAATACATAATAAATGATACATGATATTAAGTGTGTCGACGTGTTGATTGCTGTTTGCTAAATCATGTTGAATATGTGGTAAATGCTCTTAGGGAGCGAGTGTCAGATTATTATTATGAAATTTGTTTACAAATACTCTTACAAGGGATATTAGAGATAAATAAGGCTTTTTAGAGTAGATCTGCTTATTGTATAAAAGACTGGAAATTTTGAAAATTATTTTTAATTTTGGTAATAATTTTTATTATAAAACTTATTTTTATTATATAAAAGACATGAACAATATATAAAGTTTTTTTATTTATATATTTATTTTTTTATTAATCAATTTTTAAAAAATATTTTTAAATTTTTTTAATAATAAAAAAATTTGATTTTTTTTTTAATTTTCAATACCTAGAAAATATTTAATTTTTATTTTATATTTTGACACTTTTTTTTAAATATATATATATTATTTTGATAAGAAACAAAATTTGTTTTTCTTTTAAATTTATGATATACAAATTTGCTTTATAAATATTCTATATACTGAACAGATTTCCATAAATACAAATAAATTTAGTTGTTTATTTCATTTAATTTCTATAGGCACCATCTATGTGATCATAAGGGTATATGTAAGTCGGCTTGTTACAAATATTTCAGATTTAATCTGCTATAAGTTAGCTCAGCTGTCTAAAAGCTTTAAATTTCTAGCGCTGCTGTGTCTTGTAACATTTTATGTAAGTCCCTTATTAATTTTCGAAAATAAAATTGATTGAAATTAAAATGAAATTAATGGCAAATTGCGTGCTCGTAAGGAATGCTAAACGAAATCGTATTAAGCTTCCAGGGGAATTAGCGAGAATTTCTTAGGAATTTATCAATTATACAAATACAAGCTACAAAGCTGCTTCAGCTACTTATGGCGCTCAAAGCAAATAGCCTGAGATGGACTAGCCATAAATATTCAGTGGCTGTTAATTGCGGACTCTATGGACAGGCGAGCAGATGTTGCTGTTGCTGTTGTTAAGTTGGAAACATAATGGCATAGAGACAAAGTCAATGCCAATGGCAGCAATAATCAACTGGGAGCTGCAGCAAAATGAACAACAGGCAACAATGTCAGCAATGTAAACAGCACAAATACTT